AAACTGTGATGATGGCTGATGTTTAAACATTTTTGGAATTAGCCCACCAGGTGATGCCTGATTTCTTAGCATGTTCACAGTATAAGAATAAATAGAGTTGAATTTATCAATTGACAATTTTTAAAGCCTTTCAGTTTTCAGTATAAAATTTGTTTTCTCCTACATGTGTAATAGTTACCTACCTGCAATAATCTACTGGAACAGAAACATCCAGCTTTTCAAAAATGTGAAAATATGATTGTGTTTTGCTGGGGAAATTTTATAAGATATACTAAAATGAACATTTAAATAAAAGTATATGTTCACAAATTTTCATAGAAATAGGGAAACATGATTGCAGAAAAATTAATTTTCTCAAATATTAAGCAATGTTTCTTCTACATGTGATACTTAATGATCCTTTACAGCACCTCAGGGGATGTTCTATTGGCAATATGCTGACATATTTAATCAAAAGTCAGTGTAGCTTAGATATATTAATATTATGCTCCAACAAAACACCCTGGAGTGAGCTTTATTGCTTCAACTGTGGAAAGGTCACACATTTACAGCATATTATCGTGTTTCAAAAATAATTACATTTTCATTGTCAGTTGGGGAAATAGATAAGATCTATAATACTACATACAATTACATTTAACCTTCTTAATGGGATAGTCGTGATCTGGGATTTACTTTTAAAATTTATTAAGAAGGTACTCCTTCTATATGTATTCATATAAACTGGTGAATGTAGAAAAAAGACCATGTCTTATCTGTATATACTAGTCAAAGCGGAAAAAAGACCATGACTCATTCCATGAGTTCTAAACATCAGTTATCACCTGCTTTTCAGTAGACCCATTTGACTCCAAATGTCAAATCACAGGACACATAAACATGGAAATTCTTTTTTCTTCAATTTCTTTTTGTATTATTATTTTATTTTTCTTTCTATTCAACAACTATTTATAAAATATTCTTTTCCTGTAAAATGTCTTTTTTCTGGATGTGGAGTGCAGAGAAAGGCACAGTGTGAACAAGAAGTCCACAACTGCTGCTGTGTGGCAGTTGCATTTTACTGCTGTGTTTATCAAATAGAAACTAAATCACTAAATGATTAGATAACCATAGCTCCAACTACATTTTTAGAAAATATGAGTCAATCAGAAATGATCCTTGGGAGAGGAACAGTGAAGATAATTAATTCGCAGAAATAGAAACCCTCTTAAACATGTTAAACATTTACTGAGCCATGTGACATGCTTCCAGTTTGGTTATCACCATTAATTCCAATATTGTTTAATTAATAGCAACATACAAGATAAAGGTGATTAAAGATTAATTTTATTCTTTACTTCTAATTCCACACTGCCTTGAAATAGATGTTCCAGGAGCATAAACTATTCTAGAAACTATGGCAAAAGCTATTAACAAAAATAACTAACTGAGATGTTTGAAAATAATGGCATGGCCACATGGACTTCAAATGCTACCTATACAGTTTTAGTACTGATATTTTTATCCTAAGAAGCCCAAGTGTTATACACAATAAATTGAAAATGATAATACATAGTTTAAGCTCCTAGATTTACATTACAATATTTTAATTGAGATATAATAATAATTTTCTTAAAAAGATATAATTGCAACCAAAGGAAATACAGAATCTGAATAACAATAAAATTCAAATTTATTGCTATCAATAAGATTGAATCCATCAATTTCATATCTTCTCAGACAAAAAAACCCAGTCACACATGAGCTTCACTTGCAGATTCCTTCAAACATTTAAAGAGAAAACACCTGTTTTACACAAATTCATCTAGCTAACTGGAAAGAATATGCGCTTCCTATTGAATTTTTTAGAAACACAAATTCACAACTAAGAATGAATTATGGATTTCAAATACAAATGATGACATGCATGCCAAAAGTCCCATTAACATTTAAGAACATCTAGTCTGTGCTTGATTTTGTCACCTTTCCCTGTCCCAACCAAAAATGTTTTTGAACAAATCTCACTGCTTAATATTGAGTTCTACTATGACTAACCTTCATTTTTTTTTATTTTAAAACTTTCTTTATTTTTTTATTTTATTTTTTATTTTGGAATCAAATGGTGCATGTGCAGGTTTGTTACAAGGGTATATTCCATGATGCTGAGATTTGGGGTACCACTGAAGCCATCACATAGGCAATGATATAGTACCCAATAGATACCCAATGGTTTTTTCAACCCTTGCCGCCTAGGCTTTCTCCTCCATCTTGTGGTCCCCGGAGTCTATTGTTCCCACCTGTGTGTCCATGTATACCCAACGTTTAGCTGCCACTTATATTGGAGAACATGTGGTATTAGGTTTTCTGTTTCTGTTTTAATTTGCCTAAGATAATGGCCTCCAGCTTAATCCATGTTGCTGCAATGGACATGATTCTATTATTTTTTCCAGCTGCATATTATTCCATGGTGCATATATACCACATTTTCTTTATCCAATCCATAAGTGATGGTCACCTAGATTCATTGCAGGTCTTTGTATCGTGTATAGCGTCACAATTAACATACGAGTGTAAGTCTTTTTCACAGAACAGTTTATTTTCCTCATTCTCATTAACAGGATTCTTCGGTTTAATGATAGTTCGTTTTAAGTTCTTCGAGAAATCCTCAAATTGTTTTCCCCAGTAACTAGCTTTCATTACTCCATCTTCCTTCCTTTAGCATACCATAATTCAAAATAGATTATCAAAAGTGACATAATAGTGTCCTACTTAAAATATTTTTGGCCATCACATTTTAGTTTATTTAGAACTTTTATTATTTTATCTTTATCTTTCTACTTTCATTATTTCGCTAAACTTTTAAGCTTCCCACCTTTCATTTCACCTGACCATACTGCATTTTTTAACAACCCCTTAAGTGGCAGCATATTAACTGAGGTGGGTCATTGCATGTATTCTGTTCTTTCTTCTTCATTATAGATTTTGTCTTTCAAGGTAGATACCTTAACAATTAGTCATATTTACCTGGAATACGAAGAGAGATGACAGAATTCAATTAAGATGAAATTGATACCGAAGAGATCCTGAAAACAGAGGTTAACACGGCATCTGGAATAAACATTGATTTTTTTTCTTCCTTTGAAAATGGTGGTATTATAACAAATCTATTCACGGATATTTTTGAAGCTGTATGAGAAAAAGGGTGTATGTCATTGGCAAGTGATACATTGTAGACATTGCTGCTGCCTTTTCAAAAGTCCTTCAAACGTATTTCATCGTGTTACAGCTATGTTGCTTGGGTACCATTAACCCAGTCATAACTGCAAAGATAGAACTCGATTAGTTTCATAAAACATTTTTAATGTACAATGTTTATGATTCAGATTTATTCAAGTGACCCAGATTTTCAAACCCAAAAAGAAATACAGCTTTTTGTAATAGTTGTAAGAGAAATATTTTCTCTCTACTCTGGCTCTGGGTAATGGAGCATGTACAGGTTTATGAGATTGTTTATATTTTTTAATCTCAAATAGAAGTTGAGATACAGCTAAGGGCAGAGCCAAAAGATTCACCAAGAACCACAATCAGTATGCTTAAAAAAGTATGTCTGGATTCCACCTAATCTCCCAAATTTTAAGTAAGATTATCAATGTATTGACTCTCATGTAACTCAACTAGAGTTTCCATTATTTGCCTCTAAAGCCATAGGTATGGAGTGAGGTGGAAAGATGTTATCAGACTAACCTTTTGTTATTGTTGTTTATTTTTTTTTACCTGTTTAAAAATGATGGAGTTTACTAACAGAGGAATAAATTTTGAATCAATATGAATTGAGCATATACTTGCTAATTTGAAGCAATTTCAAAACCACAAGTAGGTTTTTCAATTATGTCATTGATTAGAAACTCAGATGAGAGGACTAGGAGACACTGAGCCATAAATAAGTGAAACAATATTTTTCTCAAGGAAGAAATTACAGAATAAACACAAAGAAGGATTTTTTACTGAACAACATAAAACTATAAAAAGATACAAGTATGAAAAATGTAATGAGCCTGAAAACAAGTGTACTGGGAAGTGACCTGAGAAATTCAAGGAAGGAAAAGCAAGATAGTATTAAGCAACACACAAACACACACACACACACACACACACTTAATTTAATGAAAGAGTAGTACAGTATTGTCAAATTATATTGCTAGGTCAAGTAAAATAACTAAAATTTCATTTGATTTAGACAGATACATGCCATTTATTACCTTAGAGCATGGTGTTTCTGTGATGGTGGGGAATTAGAAATCAGACTAAAGGCATTAGCATATTTAGGAGAAAATGAGGACATGAAAACAATGTAAATTTGACCAGTAATAAGAAGAAAATGTAGTTTATAAGCATGTGAATATTTACTTTAAAGAAATTGTGTTTGGTATATTTTTAATATATTTTGCTTTACTTTTTTTCATAAATGGATTTAGTTTTTTAGAAAAGGTTTATATATACAGAAAAAATCAATCAAAATTAGAGTGTTCCTGTATACCCTCCCTGCCCCAAGAGTTTTTGCCACTATTAATATCTTGCATTACCAAGATACATTCATTATAGTTGATGAGCCAATACTGATACACTATTTTAATTAAAATGCATAGTTTACATTAGGGTTTACTCTTCGTGTAAATTCGTGCAACCTCATGATGTTAAGTATCCACCATTACAGTAACAGTGAGTATTTTCACAGTCCTGAAAATCCTCTGTGCTGTGCTTATTCATCCCTTCCTTCTCCTTGGCAACCACCAATATTTGTACTGTCTCAATAGTTTTAACTTTTCTGTAATGCCCTATTGTTGAAATAATACAACATGTAGCATTTCCTGAGTTAGGCTTCTCTAACTTAGAAATGTGCAATTAAGTTTCCTTCATGTCTTTTTGTGACTTGGTAACTCACATCGTTTTAATTACTAAATAGTATTTCATTGTATGAATATGCCATTTGTTATCCATTCACCTGTTGTATTGATTTTCAGATTGGCATGTTTATATATTTTATCTGGGATGGAAATACTTTAGAGAAGAAGAAATTCTTGAAAGCACTGAAGAACTAAGGGAAGCAATAGAGTAATGTTTCTTATAAGGTAAAATAATTTTTCTTAAATTACAGAAAAGATGACACTATGTCTACTGAAAATCAGGGGAGGAGTAAAGATGGGGTGTAGGAATAAGAAATATCAATTTCAGGGTATAAACTGAGAGTTCTTGTCAATTAATTTTTATTTAATCTGTGAATTGAGGTCTGAGTCTTTCAAATAATAAGAAAAAATAAATAAATGAAGATGTCTAGAATATGTCAGAAATTAGTGCTGGAGGCCCAGTTGGTATTTATTTCCATATGCAATGGTACTCACAGCCCAGAGGTTCTCATTTGCTCCCTCCTAAAGTTTGCGAAAGAAGTTGTTAATGCTTGTTTTAATTAAATTATCTCTAATTGATTTTATGAGTGAACACTATTACCAAAGAAATTTGTTTTTATATGAAAACTATCTTCCTAAAATAAAGTTTATTACTTTTACAGAATTTTGGCATTACTAAAGTACTTCACAATTCACATTGATTTAATAGTGAATTTTTTTTTCAATTAACAGCACAGTACCAAAACATAAAATTGTGTTTTATTTTTAAAGCATGCTCAAATTATATAAACTCAGAGAAAAATAAGTGTAGTTCATAAACCATTCATAATTGTCCTCACATTACCTCATTTCCCTAACTTAAACAAATTTTCTTTATCTGCTAAAGACATGTTTTTAAAGAATGCTCAGAAACTGAATAAATTACCATACTTGTTTAGTGATACTTTTGTACCCATTTAAGAAGCTCATAAGATTAAAATTTGTGATTATGCAGTTAGAATTATTTCCATTTATTTTTTAAAAAATTATATATTTCCAGATAAACACCAAAAACAGACATTTTGACTGCTGACAGATCTTCAGAGGGAAGACAATGAAAGTGTATGGAGGGAAGATACAGAAGCTGGACTGAATGTGAAGGAAGCTGAGAACCCTGCATGAGGCTCCCACAGACAGGGACTTGTTTCTGGCCCCCAACAACTCCAGGGAAAAAGATAAGTTGAACTGGAAAGGAGCAACTGCTTTCCTCATGGGCCTGTGGAATCCCAGCAGAAAGACATCCCTCAACCACTATGGACACTTGAATTGGCAGTAAGAGCTGCTTAAAGAAGTGGTAGGTACTGCATGCCATCCAGTACATAGCCAAAAGGGTTTAGTGCCAGAGCATCTGTAGTGTAGCACAGCCAAGGATGCTTACCCCGTTGCCCAGGCTTCACTTTCTCACATAGGGGACTTTAACCCTAGGGAAACTGTCAGACCTGAACTCTGATGGGCATTCTCAGCCATCAAATGGGGATGGATCACCTGTACTACTTCTGTAACAAGGGTTCTGAACCAGTTTGAGATGACTGAAATGACAAAAATAGAATTCAGAATATGTATAACAATAAAGACCATTGTGATGCAGGAGTACATTAAAACTTAATCCAACAAAGCTAAGAATAAGAATAAAATGATACAAGAGGTGACAGAGAAAAATAGTCAGAATGGAAAGAATGTAAACAAGCTGCTAGAGTTGAAAAACACAGGATGAGAATTTCATAACACATTTGCAAGTAAGAATAATAGAATACACCAAGCCAAGGAAAGAATCTCAGAGCTTGAAGATTGGCTTTGTGAAATAAGGCAGTCAGACAAGAATAAAAAAAAAAAATGAAGAGGGGCACACAAAAACTCTGAGAAATATGGGAGAAATGTGGAATTATGTAAAGGGGCCAAATATATAACTCTTGGTATTCCTGAAAAAGATGGGAAGAATGGAAATAACATGAAAAACATATTTCATTGTGGGGGTCCGGCACATCTGCTGGGGGGCTTCCGACCAGCGGAGAGCCTCAGCCCTACTCAAGTGTTTTAACCTGGAAGAGGGAGTGTGCGGAAGAAAAGATAGATAGAGAGCGGGGTCTGGAGGACTGCCAGGCAATGCGGGAGCAAGAAGTGCCAAGACAGCAAGTTTATTTGTGCCAACTGCAGGTTATATACCTTTCAGTGTTTGAGGAGTGACGTACATTCCATTGTATCTTGAAATAAAATCAAGAACAAAAAATCACAAGAAAAGGGGTACAGAAAGTATGACTCTTAATCTAAGGGTGTACAGCAAAGGGACAATAAAACTTGCAAAAAGGGGATCATAAATCTAAACATGTGTTTTTCTAAAATCAGTTAAGCAAGCAAGTAAGATTGTTAAGAAGGTATAGCTGGACCTTGCTAAATGTCATTCTAACCTTGCCTATTCATATAGGATCATATGCAAACAATGTGATTGAGTTAGCAGAGGTAAATGAAGTCATACAGTTATTGTGCAGAGAAGGAACTAGGAGGCACACAATGTCTAACCACACAATGTCTCATTAGACCACAAGGCCTGAGCTCAGCCATTCTGTTGCAAATGTCAGAAGCAAAGATTGATGTTTATAAAATCAGTGCAACCAGACTTCCTCCTTTCCCTTAGCTCAACAGCCTCCAGGAGAGGAGAAACGTGTATGGGCTCAAGCTCAAGATGGCGAGGGTCCTGTCAAGGGCCCTTCGCAGGAGCGATCCCCACATTTCATTATATCATCAATAAAATATTCCCCAACCTAGCTAGAGAGGTCAAAATTTAAAGTCAGAAAATGCAGAGAACCCTGGTAAGATACTTCACAAGAAAATGATCCCTAAGACACATAATCATTAAATGCTTCAAAATGAAAATCAATTAAAAAATATTACAGTCAGCTAGAAAAAAGGTCACATCACTATAAGAGGAAGTCCATCAACCTAATAGCAGACCTCTCAGCAGAAACTCTACAAACCAGAATAGATTAGAAACCAGTATTCGATACTTGTAAAGAAAAGAAATTCCAATCCAGAATTTTATATTCTGTTAAATTAAGCAAAGGAGAAATATAATCCTTTCAGATGTGAATGTTGAGAGAATTTATTTTCACTACATGTCTGCATAATAACCAGTTAATATCATGATGTCAGGATCAGACTCACACATAACAGTAGTAATTTTGAATATAAGTGGGCTAAATACCCCAGTTAAAACACACAGATTGGCAAGCTGGATAAAGAACCAAGACCCAACTGTATGCTGTCTTCAAGAGACCCATCTCACTTGCAATGACACCCAAAGACTCAGCATAAAGGAATGCAGAAAAAAAGCATTATGAAGAAAATGGAAAACAGAAAAAAGTTGGGGTTGCAATCCTAATTTCATAAAAAAGAGACTTTAAATTAACAAAGTTTCTGCCCTCAACCTTCAGAATCTAAGTTCTTCACCTTTTGGACGCTTGGAGCTACACTAGTGGTTTGCCAAGAGCTCTCCAGCCTTGAGCCACAGACTGAAGTTTGCACTATCAGCATCCCTACTTTTGAGGTTTTGGGACTCAGACTGGCTTCCTTGCTCCTCAGTTTTCAGATGGCCTGTTGTGAGACTTCACTTTGTGATCATATGAGTCAATATGCCTTAATAACCTCCCTTTCATATATACATTTATCCTGCTAGTCCTATCCCTCTAGAGAACCCTATTACAGGAGAAAAAGGAATGCTTATACACTGTTGGTGGGAGTGTAAATTAGTTCAACAATTGTGGAAAGGAGTGTGGCAATTTCATACAGAAATACCATTTGACCTAACAATCTCATTTCTGGGTGTATACCCAAGGGAATATAAATTGTTCTACCATAAAGACACATGTATGTGAATGTTCATTGCAGCACTATTCGCAATAGCAATGACATGGAATCAACCTAAATGTCCATCAGTAATAGACTGGATTTTAAAATGTGGTACATATGTACCATAAAATACTATGCAGTCATAAAAAAGAATCAGATCATATCCTTTTGCAGGAGCATGGATGGAGATGGAGGCCATTATCCTTAGCAAACTAATGCAGGAACAGAAAATGAAATACTGCATGTTGTCACTTATAAATGGGAGCTAAATAATGGAAACACATGGACACATAGAGTGGACCAACAAACACTGGAGCCTACCAGAAGGTGGAGGATTAGAAGAGAGAGAGGATCAAGAAAAATAACTAAGGAATACTATGCTGGTTACCTGGGTAATGAATTAATCTGTACAACAAACCCACATGACACACATTGACCTATAAAACAAACCTGCACATGTACCCCTGTACTTAAAGTAGAAGTTAGAAAAAACAACACTTGCATGCCTATGTTCATCATAGCACTAATCACAACACTGAAGTCATGAAATCAACATAAATTCTCACTAACAATAGGCTGGATTAAAAATATGTGGTGTATATACACCATGGAATATTATGCAGCCATAAAAAAGAATGACATTATCTCTTTTGCAGCAACATGGATAAAGGTGCAGCCATAATCCACCATAATTCTAAATGAACTAATGCAGGAACAGAAAACCAAACATTACATAGTCTCACTTTTAAGAAGCAGCAGCTGAACATTGAGTACACATGGCACGAAGAGAGAAACAATGGATACCAGGGCCTACTTGATGGTGGAGAGTGGGAAGAAAGAGAGGATTGAAAAGTTACCTTTTGGTACTATGGTTATGATGTGGGTGATGAATTATTCTGTACACCAAACCCCCATGGCATGCAATTTACCTCTATAACAAACCTTCACATGTACCCCTAGAAACCAAAATAAAATTAAAGAAAATACAGACATTTGTGTGCTTTTGGAAAATGTGTGGTAGTAAATATATCCACATAGCATGTAATGATGACCATAAATTAGTTATAACTAAATGGGGTTTTTGGAATTTTATTTTTGAAATCCATACTATTCTTTGCAATCTGTGTATACTAAAAATACAATATCTATTTTCAGAAAAATTATAATAATATTTGAATAATAACCTAGAGATTATAATGCAAATCAAGAGACTTAAAATTATTATATTTTTGTTTATAAAATTCAACATCTCTTTATGATAAAAACCTTCAACAAATTAGATATAGAAGGAACATACCTCAACAAAAGCAAGGCCAGGTGTGACAAAGCCATAGCTAACACCTTACTAAACAGGGACAACTTGAAAGCTTTTGATTTGATAACTGGTACTGGATAATGATGCCTAATTATTATTCTCTCTTTTTTTTAATTGTACTTTAGGTTTTGTGGTACATGTGCAGATCATGCAGGACTGTTGCATAGGTACACACATGGAAATGTGGTTTGCTGCCTCCATCCCCCTGTCATCTACATCTGGCATTTTTCCCCATGTTGTCCCTTCCTGACCTCCCCACCCTGCCACACTGTCCCTCTCTTGCCCCCCCAACAGACCCCAGTGCTTGATGCTCCCCTCCCTTTGTCCCTATGTTCTCATTAACCTGCTAAACGTCTCTTGAAATACCAGAAAATTAGAGTATCTTCAGTGCTATCTAAATTGAATATTATTAAAAAAAATAATTGCTTAATTGTGCTTTATTGGTGAACAAAAGATAATGTGCCTAAAAATAATTTAAATGTAAACATTACTGAGAGGGTTTTTAGACATGTCTGAAAGCTGTCTAAAGGTCTGACAGCTTTCAGACTTTTGAAATCATCTGCATCCAGGTCCTTTGGAAGGATAGATGTTGAGTAGAACATTTTTTATTTGCTGTCTGAAACTTACATTATATAATTTTTCTAGTGTCTACATAAATAATAGGAAGATAAGTGAAACAAAATGATACAGTGTGGTATTATTCTACTTTATATGTGTGCATATACTAAATCACTAAACAAATATGCTATATATACTAAATACTAAGTATATTCTTTGCATATCTATTTTATATATGTGAAAACCTGTGGCTTATATTTTTGTATCCTTTCCTTTGATCAGCAAAGGAGAGATACAGGAGCACAATTTACCCTAAATTCTATAATTTAGGAGAAACTGAGAGACTATGTTAACTTCTCTTCCTGGGTCCACAAGGGGTGTGGTTTCAAAGGCAAGAACTTCCCTGCACCATATCCCACCCTCCTCCCCATCAGGGAACATAAAGTTCTTTGTCTAACGTTCCCTGCTTGTGGCTAGGTAAAATTCCAGGTGAGCTTCCTTTGTTCAGAAAGCTGCCAAAAGCCCTTAAAGGAGAGACTCTGTTGTGGGCCAAGCAATCAGTTTGGAATCAAAGTCAAAGATCAATCACTCCAGAGGAAGTTTGAAAGAACTCCTCTCATTGGACAAAAACATAAATGGGGCGGGAATAACTTCAGTTAAAACTTTGGGGCACCTTACATAGATTTCCCTCTCTGGGATCTCCTCTCACAACAACGTGGGAGCTGTCTTTCCCTCTCTCTCTACCTGTGCAGATCCCCTTCAGATTCCACTCTCACGGCAGCGTGGGAGCTCTGTCTACCTCTCTCTCTTTCTCTATCTGCCTAATAAATCACTCTGCAAAACTCTTTGGGTCCGATATTTACTTGACCAATAAGCTCATCCTGCCACCAGGGTCTCTTCCCCATTCCTGGGGCCAGGGAGCCCAAGAACCTCGGGCACATCAAATGGTGGAGGGTAGGGAGCGGGGAGGGGAGGAGCTGAGCCCTTTCCCATCCCATGACCTGGTTACAAAATCAGGTACAATCCCTCAATTATGCTCTCCCAGTGGAATCAACCAGGCAGCATTTAATTCTTCAACAATGACGTATGGTGACACATACAAGGTGTTGGCAAACAGCGAAGGTCAGATGAGTTTTGAGGAAAGGATTTTTATTGACAGTCTTGTATGCTTGGGGCACCCATAGAATCCAACTATTCTATTTGGCTCCATTCCCTCAGAGGTCAAACTGATACAGAGTGGGCCAAACCCCCGGGTACACAAAAACAGGTGTACACTAAAAGTTACATTATTAGCATGAACAATCTGGTATGGCCCAGATTCTCAGGCATTCAAAGACATTCTTATAGGCAGAATATTCCAAGGGCTCAGAGGTTATCTCCCTGGAACAGGTAAGAGGACAGGGCTATTTTTGGGATATTCAAGGTTTGAGCCCACCACGTTCATTGGGTTATCCCTTTACTATACGATTAAAATGTATAGAACTAGAGAAATCCTAAGGTAATCCAATCGTTTAAGAAATAATTTTGAACAGTTATCCTGTGCAATGCACTATTGTGTTAGGTAGATAGCATTGAACAAAAGAGCCCAATCTCATAATTCATAAAACTTACTTTTTCCAGAAATAAGAAAAATTGTAAATATGCAAAATGAAAAACAAGGAAAATATTGTATTAGATGCTAACTAGTCCTCTATGAAAATAATGAATTAGGAATAGGATGGGCATGAAATGGGTTCTATTTTAATCAGACTTGCCTTCCTCCAATGGCAGTATGATAGTAAATGTGTGCAGGTCTTGAGGAAGCAAACCTTGTGGAGAATTGGTGGTAAAAACCATCCAACTAGGTAAATTTGTCATATAGAACACCCATTTGAAGATTGGTGCTATGCTGGAAGAACAAGGAGGCAGCATGACTGGAGCCTGGTAAAATGAGAGAGGAAGAGAAATAATGAAGCCAGATGTGTAAATTGTGGCATAATTTTTCCTAATTATCATTTTCAACATTAATTATTTGTATTAATAGTTATGAGATTATTATAATTGTACTTCAAATTATATAAAAATGGTTTGGAGTGACACAGATTTCCAAAAGGAGATAAAGGCATTTTTGATCCTATTAGAACTAAGGGCTAAGAAAACGCTTTGCTCCATGTAGCTCTTTCAGTTTGTTATTTGAAATGTTACATTCAAATTATCTTGTAAATACTACTGCTTTATGAAAAGTACCAATAATTGACGATGTCGCAGGTGGCCTTTTTTTGTAAGAGAACAAACAGATCTTGGCACCACAGAGGTACTCAAAGAGATCACCGTGGGTCACTGTCATTATACAATGCTCATTCCGCACTATTCTTTCTTAGCCATTGCCTTTTCACATGCCTTTCTTCGCACAGCTGGACTTCTTTGTCGTATATAACGTATCATGCGGTGCACATTTTCTCTCCTGTCGCCCATGATTGAGAACAGATGTTATATGCATTATAATTGTCTTCAGGAGATCTTGATGCCTTTTAGTGGCACGCGGTACTTTTTGTAATCAGGAGGCTTAGCGGCGTGCTTAGAGGGCCATGAAGTATAGAACTTCTTTGTATTGTAGGTCTTCACATATAACCCCTGGGCCTGCTGTTCCCCTTTCACTGCTTGCTGGAACAATTAGCATTGGTAAAGGGTTTTCACAACAGGTATTAATGCCTTACTGAAAGGGGCAAGGAGATTTGGCTTTTCCAAGAGGCAAGGATTGAGCTATGGAAGATAAAAGGTTTCCTTATGGAAAAAAAAAATAAAACAAATTTTTATTTTCCTTATTCTATCTTTCCATTCAAAATAAGTCAATTTTTAGTCTTTAATTACTTGATGTAAAAGAACAAGTAAAACAAAGTTTATATTCAAATTTGACTTACCAAAATGTAAAATATCTTTTATGATTTTTCATTATTTTGATTGGATCAGAGGATAATATAAATAAAATCTTGCAGAATGCCTTCTATGTGAAGGCTAGGTTGTTTTCTCTGGAGAATTTTGAATAAACCATCAGATGAGTTTATTGATATTGGTACATAGAGCATAGGCTTCAATGAATGCAAATCGACTTATTCCATCTGTTTCTCCACTTTTGTTCCATTTTGGTAAACGACAAGCTAATGAGCAAGCTGAACTCAGGGAAAGGAGCTTCACTGTGGTCCTAAAACACCGTCTACATTCCAAAGGTTGAGTGTTTAAATTCATCTTTTTATTCAATGTAATGACCTTACCCAGTTTCTTAAAATTCTGAAGCCTTCATTCTTGTGTTCAACATTAACATTAATAATGACAAAAATATTTACTAAGAGTTAGTTTACTATGTGCTGGGCAGTTACTGTGTGCTTTATAGCCCTTTACTTGACATTTTGCTACAGCACTAAGTAGCAGAGTTGGGAGTGCAGATCCAAATTCCATCATCCATAATCAATTTGATTCCTCTAAAATTCTTCTTCAGCCCTCTCCTGGTTGGCACACTTAATTGTATGCCTGATTTTCTTCAAAGCAACTTCAAAGCAATTTTGTTCTGCATAGTCTCTGTTGTACTCTGTAACAAACAATATATACATATACATATATACACACACACGTCACACATACATATATATAAACTGATTACTTTCTCTAAATTCCTAACAAAAATTGAAAATTTTCATTTAATCTAAAATGTTTCCAGATAATATAACTCTTCAGCAGAAAAGAGTCAGGTAAACTTCATAAGAGCCCAGTGAACTTGGCATGGGATTTCTTTAAATATTTAGGTCAATTTGAGTGACGTGTACACCTTAAACATATTGAATCTTTCTGTCCTTGAGCATTATGTATCTGCTCAGTCTTAGTTTAAGCACTGTGTTCCAATGATGCCATTTGAGAACATGGGGAAGGTTCTTTTTTCCTATATTATCTGAATAATTTTGCACAGTGCTGGCATTACTACCTTTTTAAACCTTTAAAACAAATTACTTGTGAAGATATCGGGATCTAAAATTTTCTTCAAATGAAAGTTTTTGTTTTTTCTTAGAAGAAAAATTTTTTTCACTGTATTAATTGTCCATTAA